ATGTTAACAGATATTTGAAATTGCATATTGTTAACTTCCATCTTGAGTATTCAAGCAGAGTTTTCTTTCCTATTTTCGGTCGCATGAAAATGCGCCACTCATACTGCATTGGTACAGATATGTACATGGCGCATATGTAGTGAAATTTCCGAATTTTAATTTTTTACGTATTTTAATCACGTGATGAGAATCGTAGTAAAAATTACGAATTTGCAGATCACGTATTATAAACCACGTACATATTTTATGCTTTGTATAATTTGTATAATAGGTGCACGTCGCAAACTACCACGTGATTCCGTATAAGACGGATATTTCCTCCATATAGTCGTGAGCTAAAAAAGATAATACCGAGAATGTTCACTTGATTAATGTGACGAGGAGTTTAGTATGAAAACCCGATACATGTCTTAGAAAATCTTATTCATCCACATTTATTTTTTATTTATACGTTAAAAATACCTCTATGTACGGGTGTCCAATTTTGTGGGGTTGCTAATGTCTCCGATTACGTTATTACAAAAAACATTTCAATATTCGTCTTCACATGCTCTTATATAACATTATTAGGATCATAAGTGTAGCGACCAGTAACTTGTTAGTAATTACACATTAAATTTTTTAATACGAGTACAACATACAGTATTTTTTAAGAATGCTATATATGGGATGAATGACGGGAATTGCCTGATGTGATTTAACCATTTACATTATAAACGAACGATGCAATCCGAAGGAATATATTTCTTATTGGTAAAGTTTATAATAGAAAATTCTTTATTCTTAGTTACAGTATATATAATGTGTGAGTCATATATTTTTGAAATCGTCATATTTGCAAAAATTTATCAAGTTGTCTTATAAAAGCTTAAATATAAATTTTTTTTTTAATTTTTATATAAAAATGATCGAATTTCCATAATATACTGTAATAAAAATATATCTATGATTGTTATATTGATTTTTAGATTAAAAATTCAAAAAATTTATATAAAAAAGTTAAACAACCTTTTTTCAAGATTATAAATAAGCTATTTATAAAAATCTTACAATATTGGCAAAAAAAAATTGGCAATTTTTTTTTTATTTTAATTTGATGTGCAATTAATATCAAATATTAAAAATTCAGTATATTTGGAATTTTATCAAATTTCTTTATAAAATCATAAATAAAAAAAGCAATCTAATTTTATTATTTTCTTTTATTTTTTTATTTTTTATAAAAAATATTATTCAATAATTACTGCTTTATTATTTTATAAATATTTTAAATAAAAAATTTATTTCAAAATATTAATTACAAATTTATTTTAAAACATTAAAATTTTTTTTTTAAATAAGTAAACATCATTTTTTTATTTTTTGTATATATAATATCATACATATTCAATAAGTTAAATGCTAGCTTTCTTATTTATATTATATTTAATTAATATCAAAAATAAATTTTAAACAATATTAATACTAAATATAAACTAAAAAATAACTATAATTACCTATTAAAAAAAAAAATTAAGACATATTGAAAAAATTGTAATTATAATAAAAGTTTTATAAAAATAGAAATAACAATAAAAAAAAATATTCTATTCAATATAGATATTTAAAAAAATTATCCTTCTAATTTTTTGTAACTTGTTACTTATAAAAATCAAAAGAGAATTAATATATATTTTTTTTTCTAATAAATATTTTAAAAATAGAACTCCTAATAATATCATTTCAATATCATTTTAATATCAATTCAATACTAGATTTACTATAAATTTATATAAGTAAATTACAATCCATATATTAAATTTATTATAAATTAATATTATTTTGATACCATTTTAATACTAATTCAATACTTTTTAAAGTTTTATTTAAAAGTTATAGTTTTTATTTATTCAAATTATCAAATATAAGAGCTTAAAAATCAAGTAAAATATAATTTCAATATTTTTTAGTAGATATTTCAAGAAAATTTAATTAGTTTAGATTGTTAAATCTAGAAGCATAAATATCAAGCATAATATAACTTTTATATATAAATAATATTAAATAAATTATAATTATACTATATATTAATATTTATATTTATTTCCAAGATCATATCTAAAGGTTAATAACCTAAGATGGGTATTCAAGTATAAGTAATTAGTTTATGCATAAAAGTCACATATACGATTATGTCTTCTTTTAAAAAGATTAAATAAACACAATAAATACTTGTTTGATTACAAAAAAAAAAAAAAAAAACTATATATTAATATTTATATTAATAATTTTTTTTTAAATTAATTTATTTTTTAATAATATATTTTACTATAGAATCTGTTATGTTGAAAGATTACAGGTTTTTTATAAAAGTTAGATCAGAAGTCTTTTCTTATATAATTTTTTTTGCTTCAATTTAATTTTAGTTTACAATTATTAGAAAAATCAGATATTTATCTTTATATAGCTTAATTAAATTAATTAGAATCTAAATATTTAAGTATAATATTTATAATAAAATTAATAAACTTATAAATAAAAAATAATTTTTATATTATATTTTCTATAATATTGAACTAAAGATATATATTTAGAAACTTGAAAGTATTATATTTTATATTATTGATTTATAAATTTAAATTATTAAATAATATATAATAAATAATTAAAAATTATATTATCAATAAAATTTTTTTTATAATGACCTGTAGATCCATAGCACAGTAGTTAGTGCTCTACAGGTCAAATCACAAGATACCGATTCAACTCCAAATAAAAGTGGTTAAATAGAATTAATATGATATCTGATATCGTAACCAATCATATACTGTTTCTTATAAGAAGTCATTTACATACTGATCTGATAAGGTGTTGAGATTGTGATTTCTAGTTAAGGTATTATAATGTAATGATCATCCAATTGGTGCATAATGATTATTATGAAAGTTGTTTCATATATAGGTTGCATAGGTTCCCTACATATGTTATACTCAATAAGCTGAATCTGATCATTCTAGGATTTCCTGGTTTGGAACTATCCTAATCTGATATTTGCTTAAAAGAAGTTGATGTCCTAAAAAGGATCTACCGAAGTCGCAGGTGGTGATAAGGAGCAAGTATTCCTTCCGAGGGTCCAAACGATAGTCAGTACAATAGTATAATTTCCAATTGTAAAAGGATGCTTAATATATTCAAGTTATACAAGTACCAATAAAGATTTGTATTATTACATATTCATCTATAAAAAAAAAAAAATTTTTTTTTATAATAAAATAGAAATATATATAATTTAGATTAATTAAAAAAATATTTATTATTTATAATTATAATTAAAATAAAAAATATTATTTAAAATAAATTAAATATTTTATATTCAATAATATTTAGAAAAAAAAAACAAATATATTAATTATATAATATATTGTATATAAAAGTTAAAGTTTATTTATTTATAAATTTATATTATTTATATATATTAAGAGTTTTGAATTTTATATTTTATAAATAAATTTAAAATAAAAAAAAAAAATATTAAATTTTAATTTTATATAAGATAATTTAAAGTTTTATATAGATTTATTAAATTAATAATATTAAAAATATCATATATGATTATTATATTTTTTTATTTTAAATTAAAAAAAAATTGAATTTAATTATAATTATAAAAAAAAGATTTATAATATTTTAATTTTAAATTAATAAAATTAAATATTGATAAAAATTTAAAAACAATTTTTACAATTTTTAATAAGATTATTTAAATTTTTTTAATTAATTTATTTGTCTTATAAAATAAAAAATTTAAAGAAAATTTAAAAATTTTCAAACTTTTTAAATATTTTTTTTTGATTTTTTACAAAATTATTAAAATTATTTTTTTATATTGTTTTCAATTTTCTTAGAATTTTTTATTAATTGTTTTTTAATAAATAGATTAAATGTTTTTTTTAATAATTTTATAAAAAACCATTTAATTAAAATATTTAAATATAAAATTTCTATTAAGAAATATAGTTTTATAAATTAATTAGTATAGTATGTCTAATATTGATAAGAAACCTTTTAACAAATTTAATTATTTTATAAAATTTGCTATAACTTTTCTTAAATTGGTTTATTTGCAAATAGAAATATTAATTTTTATAATCTTTTGATTATAAGCTTGAAAAAATTACAAGATGAATTTGTTACTATAATAAAAATCAATTCAATATTTTCTTTCATAAATTTTTGTAACTTGATTGAATTGATGGTTTTGAATTCTAAAAATTTTAAAATAATTCTGTGAAAATAATATAAGAAATATTTTTGTATAAATATTGTGCAAATAAACTTATAATATTAAATATACAGTATATGACAGTAAACGAAAGTTTAAATAAAGTCAGCATTTAATGCATGTTTGCGATTATAAAAAAATATACAGTATTACAATTTCTATAATAATAAATCGTAAGCGAAAACATCCGATCCGGTAATTTATCGTGCGGAATGACTCAATTTCATATAAAACTTGGATTACCTTCCAAAAATAGACTTTGTGTGTGTGAAGTTTACGTGTGATGTAAATCTGTATTACCGTACACTTATTTCGTAGGTGCCAGAATGACAGATAATCAAATTCGTTGATTTTTTTATATAAAGCCAAAATTGGTCTATAAACGTTTGTCAATAATTTCGTGTTTATTATGAATTCAATTCCCTTATATTTCCTCCTGCTGCTAGAATATTTTTATCGTTAACCAAAAACCAATTATTGCATCGTGACCATGTTGCGCTCAACCGTTAGGATAGGAGCATTTAAGAGGATCGCCGATTCATTGCTTCCAGTGCGAAGTCAGCAATCCATAATCACCTCTTATATGCTCAGACCTCTTTTAATTACCCACAACTTCTCCAACTTCGCGTCAACGAGAAATTCATCCAATTCTTCGATCCCGAAGACAGCCATTCCTTCCAATGCCGAGGAGTTGGCTTCATATATACCAGCTGAAATTCTTATGCACACCAAGAATCCACAACCAGTTCGCCATGAGATTACCGAATCAAAGGAACCGTTGAAGGCTGCAGATCTTGAAAATCTGGACATCAAGATCAAACTTCACAGAACACCAGTAACTTTTTCGGATAAGAT